GGGCAGTAACACAGGTGATCTGGGGCTTTTTTACGCTTGGTAAACGTTCTACAACAAACACCTCGTCGTTACTAGGGGGAAAGAGAGTTTTAATTCCTAAATCACTGAGGGTGGCAGGCCCACACTGGCGAGCCTGCCCTTCTCCTCCGGGAACAGGCACAGCCTCCACCCTGACTCTCTTCCGGCTGGGTCCTTCCCTGGGGGAAAGGGCGTGGGCATTAAGGATCTCGTCCCTGGTCCAGCAGACTGCGTCCCAGCGGCCGCTGGAGGGGGTGCCTGCAATAGGCCGGCCGTGGCCGGAACCGGACTGCGAGGCCCTGCAGGGTCTCCCATCCAGACCCGTGACCGCTGATGGGGCCCCCAAACACCCGCAGCCCTCGTTCCATGTGCCGCCGTGGGCCGTGGCAGCATCTGAGGGGCTCGCGGGAGGACCGCGGGAGGAGGAGTCTCTGGGCGCTGTCGCCAAACAGACGTGTGAGGCGGCGGCGTCCTGCGGTGCGCGCACGCATTCCCAAATCAGCAACAGTAATACTTCTAAATCTAGTAAGAAATGTGAACCACTTCTACAAATTATGTAATGCTGTGGAGAAAATAAATGAGCACTGAGATAAAGAGAAAAGTGTATCTTGGTCTTCACTCGGAAGGATCAATACTTAAAATGTGATTCTTTCCGGGGTCGCCTGGGTGGCTCACTGCTTGAACGTCGACTCTTGATTTCAGCTCAGGTTCGGGAGATCCAACCCCACGTCGGGCTCTGTGCCAACAGCATGGAGCCTGCTTGGGATTCTCTCTCCCTCTCTCTCTGCCCCTCCCGCCCCCAAACAAATAAACTTTTTTTTATAACCTCAATCAGAACCCATGAGGTCATTTTTTCAAGTTTACTTATTTTGAGAGAGACTGGGGGAGGGGCAGAGAGAGCACGCGAGCACAAGCGGGGTGGCCTGTCGCCACCCAGGCACCCCAATAAGCAAACTTTTTAAAAAACGTAAATCTATTTTTTTTTTTAACGTTTATTTATTTTTGGGACAGAGAGAGACAGAGCATGAACGGGGGAGGGTCAGAGAGAGAGGGAGACACAGAATCGGAAACAGGCTCCAGGCTCTGAGCCATCAGCCCAGAGCCCGACGCGGGGCTCGAACTCACGGACCGCGAGATCGTGACCTGGCTGAAGTCGGACGCTTAACCGACTGCGCCACCCAGGCGCCCCTAAAAAACGTAAATCTAAAATGAAGCCACAAGAACAATAAAATCCCATGCTCAGGACAAAAACAACCAGAAGTTTCAGGAACAGATTCCGGAAGGACACCATGCTGAGTCGTGGATTCCACTGGAAGCATAAATAGGTGAGTCAAGAATTTACGATTAGGCACACCTGGGAAGCTCAGTCCGTTACGCATCCAGCTTTGGCTCAGGTCATGATCTCACGGTTGGTGAGTTGGAGCCCCGCATGGGGCTCTCTGCTGTCAGTGCTGAGCCCGCTTCGGATCCTGTCTCTGCCCCTCCCGCTCACATGCGTGTGCACGCATGCACGCTCTCCCTTTCTCTCTGTCTCTCAAAAATAAACATTAAAAAAAATTTACAATTAGTCTTGGGGTGCCTGGGTGGCTCAGTCGGTTAAGCATCCGACTTCGGCTCAGGTCATGATCTCACAGTTCGTGAGTTTGAGCCCCGCGTCGGGCTCTGTGCTGACAGCTCAGAGCCTGGAGACTGCTTCACATTCTGTGTCTCCCTCTCTCTTTGCCCCTTCCCTGCTCATGCTCTGTCTCTCTCTGTCTCAAAAATAAATAAACATTAAAAAAATTAAAAAAAATTTACACTTAGTCTTACATTTTATTTTTTTTAATTTTTTAAAGTTTATTTATTTTTTGAGAGACAGAGCATGAGCAGGGGAGGGGCAGAGACAGAGGGAGAAAGAGAATCCCAAGCAGGCTCCAAGCTGTCAGCGCCCAGGGCCCCGTGCGGGGCTCGAACCCACGATCTGTGAGTTCATGACCTGAGCCGAAACCAAGAGTCGGATGCTTAACCGACTGAGCCACCCAGGCGCCCCATAGTCTTACATCTTAAAACTTTAAAATTTTCTAAAACAGATACATTAGAATTGGATTAAATTATACCAAGGAGAACAAGAAAACAACAAAGAAGCAAGCAACAATCTCGGGTAAGGAAAAAAGAAAGGGCTGATGCAAAGAGCCGCGGTGCTGGGAGAGAGAGCAGCCGGGCGCGCTGACGGAGAGGCAGCGCGGATACAAGTGGGGACTCCGTCTGCGTACAAGAGACGCGTCTAAAGCTTGTGGACACACAGCGGCTGAAAGGAAAAGTCCGGAAAAGACCGGGGATATTCTAACCAAAGAGACTTGGTGTCGCTGCGCCGATACCAGACAAAACAGACTCTGAAGTAAATCGATGATCAGGGTGAAAAGGGTCGCCAATGAAAGGCTCAACTTACCAGGAAGAATATCAAGTTAAGATCTGAAGGCATCTAATAATATGGCTTTCCGACGTACGACTCAAGATTGCTAGACCTGCAGGGAAATGGACGGGCCCCGTCACAGGGAGGGATTCCAGCCCACCCCTCTCAACGACGGGCAGCTCATGCCGGTCCAAATCGGCAAGCACCTGAGAGGTGACGCTTCCCCACTGACCGCCTTGGCATGAGGGGCACTGTCAGGGAACCCACGTGCCTCTCGAGGACACACGAGGCGTTCACAGCCATCGATCAGTGGAGCCTGCACCAAACCGCAACCAGGTTCAAGGAGGGATGAGCCCCGAGAGTGGAGACGGAAGCCGGAGTGAGGTCGCCAGCTGGGAGCAGACAGAGCCAGCCCAGCGAGAGTCTCAGAGCAGGCCATGGCAGCGTGCTCGGCTAGGTAGGAAATCAGAACTGAAACCAGAAATTCCAGGAACCCAAACGAAGTGAAATGGCACACACCCCGTAACGCAGCAGAGCATGATTCGGAGACACGGGGGGTTGGGGCAGGGAAGGAGAAAAGGGAGAAGGAAGGGGCCGAGCGCCCTTCTCAGGCGGGATCCCAGGATTGTACAGAACTGGGAAGCAGACACACATCGGATACGTGTGAGGGTCTGTACACACAGAAGGCCTCCAGGCAGCGGGGAGGACGTGTCCGTGAGCATCACCTCCGGGGGACAAAGCAGGAGTCGCCACGAGATACACCAGCTCCCGCCACCGCACATCTGAGCAGTTTTGTGAGGCTTCTGTACGACTTCCAGAACAAACTCACTGATTTTCAAGATACATACGTGTGTCACCAGGGTGCACGTTTACATCAGGCTCCCCATCGCATGCGGACAAGAGACTGTCAGCCCCCAGCTGACGCTCGGGCCCCTCATGGAGTGGAACCCTCCTCCCCTCCCCTCCGCACAGTCCCATGCCCCAGGGACTCGTTGGCCACAAGCCCCCGCCCAGGAGCCCCTGCTGAGCCCAGGGAGGGGGGGGGTGCGGGCTGGATGTGAGGGGAGGGAAGGGTGGCTTGGGAGGTGGCCTCGCGACAAGCCCTGCCTCCAGGCCCGGGGGCAGTGCATGGGAGGCGGTGGGGCGGGCACAGAGGAGGGGGCAGGAGGAGTTTAGGTTCCAGGTGCTTCACGGGCCTTTGGGTAGGTGCCGGAGCCTGTGGCCTCTGAACCCCTCCACGGAAGGGTGCGTGTTACCCTGACCTTTGTGCGGTCTTCTTGCGCCGATGCCCAGCTCTGAGTCCTCCCACCCACCAGGCAGAGTCCCTCCTTTGGAGCGCGTGCCCGCCCCAGGTGTGGGCTCACAGGACAGGGACCGGCCGCAGGCCGGATCCGCACGCGGGCAGGGAGCCGCCGGGCGCGGGCGAGGGGCCAGCAACCGCTGCTGGGTCTGTATTGACTGGACCCGGGGGCCGGCCGGCCAGCCTTGGAAAGCTGGTGCGGCGCCCGCAGGCCAAAGTCCAAGACAGAACAGAGTCCCCTAGAGTGGAAGGGCAAGCTAACACCTGCACCGCCTGACATCACGGCAACCCTCACACGTGCCTCCTTGTTCCCATTTTCCAAGAGTTAAGGGGAGACGTTTACCACAGTGAGTTTTATAACCACCGAAGCCATTTGTACGTGAGAAACGAGTAGCCCCTGCTTCCAAAGCTTGTCTGTGGGGCTCCGCTTGTCTGTGGGCATGGCTCACACAGGCCCCGGCTGTGTGTCCCCGGCACTGCCAGACCCTCAGTGGACAGACCCGGGAGGAGGGCCTCCTTCTGCTCAAGGGCTAATAAAGGGTGGCCGCTGCTCCCGCTCACTGCTCTTTTTTTAAAAGTGTTTACTTATTTTCTCTTTTTGTAATTTTTTTTTTTTATGTTTATTCATTTTTGAGAGACAGAGGGAGACAGAGCATGAGCGGGGAAGGGGCAGAGAGAGAGGGAGACACAGAATGGGAAGCAGGCTCCAGGGTCCGAGCTGTCAGCACAGAGCCCGACGCGGGGCTCGAACCCACAAACTGTGAGATCATGACCCGAGCTGCAGTGGGACGCTCAACCACTGAGCTGCCCGGTGCCCCTGCCCCTGCTCGCTCCTACCCCTGCCCCTGCCTGCAACCCCAGCCCCGACGGACCAACTTGCATTTGAGCCAACTTGCAGGCTTGACGAGCTCCTGTGGATTCTCAGCGAACACAGGTGCCTGTGCGTGTGCGTGCGTGTGCGTGTGTGCATGTGTGCCCAGGTGAGGACTCGTGGGGTCCCTGATCCGTGCAGGGGATGGACCCACCAGCTCCAAGGAGCGGTGACCAGACTTGAGCTTGAGCGCAGAGAACTTCAAGATTCGCTTTCCTGGAACTTCGGGATTCGCTTTCCTGGAAGAGGCTTCCTGCCGGTTTCCTGTTTTCTTTAGAATGACCGGCTAGTGAAGTGCTTTCTAATAAAGGTAGAATAAATGACCACCAAGCAGGTCGTAAACACTTTCTGTGAATTTGGGGCAGTTCCCGGCTCCACAGTGACTTCCCCTAATTAGGCGTTTCCCTTTCTAGGCCCTGGGTGTGGATCCTGGAGCCCCATTGGGGCAGCCTCCTCCCCACCCCCGCCGGCTCCGCCCTCGCCCTCAGCCGCCCGGCCGGGCAGACTCCTCTGGCTCGGTGCGCACAGGAGCCGCCGCCTGCGCAGGGAGCCAGGGTGCAGGTAAGGGCTCGGAGAGCCCCGGGGCCGAGGACGCGGGGTGCACTTCCGGTGGAGGGTACGGGATACGTGTTGGGATGGACACACTGGGGGATGGAGATCCGGGAGCGCGGGGCGCCGGGACCCTCACCCACAGACAGGTGGCCCCGAGCGTCCCGCCAGAGTCTGTGGGCCAGGCGGCCAGGGGGCAAAGGGTGTGGCACAGGGGGAGAGAGGAGGGGGGCTACAGGTCACCGTGGGACCGCCTCCCTGCGGGGCACCCCCAGGCTCAGCTTTTGAGGGGGCAGGGAGTCCGGTCGCGGGTGTCCACTGACTCGGGACAGAACATCCTCCTCCCCCTGCCCCATTCACGCCCAGGCCCGGCAGGGCGGCACTCGTGCTCCCCCAGACTCACACTTACACGTGTGTGCACTCACGCTCATGGACTCACGCGCCCATGATACCCACACACGTTCGCACACACAGCAGTAAAACAGAAAAGAGCCACCGCCTAAGACTTCCTTGCCCAAGAGGCGATGTTGTGCCCCAGAAGCCCAGAGATGAGCCTGTTCCCCGGGGTGAGTTTTCTAGCGGCCCCTCCGCAAGCCCACCCCCCGCACGCACCTGTGGTTTGGCCACAGCGGCGAGCTCTATGCGGTGCCTCACCCCCTGCTGGTTAATAACCTGCAGCTGAAAACCACTTTCCAGACCTGTGGCTAGAGGACCCAGAGCCCCTGAGAGGCCCTCCTGTCCCTGGGGACCCTGGGGACGGTGACAGAGTGGGTTGGGGGCACACGTGCTTCTGGCCCCTGCAGTCAGGGCGGTGTCTCACTGGGCTGGTGGTGGGGACGAGGCTTCTTGGCACAGGTGTCTTGTGAGCCCGGCGGGAGACAGCCAAGCAGAGGGGAGGTGGAAAGTGTTTGCCGGCCTAGGCCCCGGGCTTGCAGGACTTTACTGCCCGGCTGGGGACCCCTCCCGGCCACGGCTGCAAGGACCATGATGCCGGCAGAAGCACCTGGCCCCGGGCGCTCCCTCCCCCCCCCCCCCCGGGGGGGGGGGGGGGGGGGGGGCCCCCCCCCCCCCCCCCCCCCCCCCGCCCCGTCTCCCCAGGTGATTAGTCACCTCCCTTGCAGTGTTGGTGAAAGGCAGGCCAGGTCAGCATTGTGCACAGACACCGAAGTACGTGCGGGGGTCACTGCACCCCCGCAGCTGGGGAGAAAGCGGCAGCAGGCGCTGCGGGAGCGGGGGACCCCCGTGCACCCGGCCCGCCAACAGACCCGGCTCCCAGTTCCCCTCTTCCCAAAGGGGGACGAGTTGCTGACAGCGCTGACAGAAGCAGGCATTTCCCAAATCGCGTCAGTGACTCCTAGGTGCGGATAGCTCTTGAGCCTGTGAATCATTCCTGGAAGGGGCCCCGCGGACACCGGTGCTGTGACTCCTGTGTCAGTATGTAGGTGCCGCCGTGAGGCTACGTCTGTCGGCCCCGGGCCCCACACCCAGTCTCCCTGCACCGCGCCAAGCGTCCGCCCCCTTCCCTGTCTCCTTCCCAGTCTCCTTCCCTGTCACCCTCTCTCTCCGGTTTTCTGTCCTTCGCCACGGTGGTGGCAGGTGAGAGGGCTCAGGCAGAGCGAGTGGGGCTGCCACATTTGATTTCAGAAAATGAGTCCTTTTTTACGTGTAAGCACGTCCCAAATATTGCATGGAACACAGACTCCAAAATGGGGGGTTGCGTATCCGAGGTTCAAGTGTGACGGGGGGTCCGTATTGTGCCTGGCAAGCCCAGAGAGCTGCCCGTCTCACCAGGGAGAAGTTTCTCCGGATAAATTCCCCGGAACAACCGAACGTTGCTGCGCACGGGGCGGCACCACCGATGCCACGAAACCCGGGCCTGGCTGCTCTTGCAACCAAATGCACAACGGCCACCGGGGGTGGGGTCAGTCAGGGGCCGGAGGAAGAGGGCGCAGCCACCACTGGGCAGGAGGAGCTCGGCCCAGGGACTGCGGCTGCCCTCGGGGGCCTCCAGGACCCGGTCACTGAGGCCTGGAGGCCCAGATGGCCTCCCCGGTGGCGAGTTTTGCTGACCGGGGTGCCGCTCTCGCTCTGGGTAAGGGCTGCTGTCCAGAGATGGCCAGGCCTGGGCTCCGCTCCTCACACGAGTGGACAAACGGGCAGAGCCAGCATACCAGGGGGCAGGAGTTAGAAATGGCATTGTTCAGTAGGTTAAGCGTCCGACTTCAGCTCAGGCCTCGATCTTGCAGTTCATGAGTTCAAGCCCCCCTTCTGGCTCTCTGCTGTCAGCACAGAGCCCGCTTTGGATCCTCTGTCTTCCTCTCTCTCTCTGCCCCTCCCAGCTGGTGCTCTCTTTCTCTCTCTTTCAAAAAATAAATAAACATAAAAAAAAAAAAAAAAAAGCAACAGCGTTCTGTGGGGCCTCTGCTGCCTTTGGCTCTGTGCCCAGAGAGCAGCCCGCTGTGATCGTGCCCTGAAGTGCAAAGTCCCCAGAAGCACATCCAAACCGCACTCAGATGACCCCTGACCTCCCAGTAAAGACGGGATTCCCCGGAGCAGGAGTGCCAGGAGGGGTGCAGCGGTGCAATGAACGGCGAGGGGGACCCCTGCCTGCCAGACGCGGCTCCCTGCCCTGCCCTCTGACCGCTGGACTGTTCTGAGGGTAGGCAGCCGAGACGGGCTCTGTCCTCACAGATAAGCCTGAGGTTCAGCGTTGGCATCTGTGCCTTGAGCCTGGCTCAGATCTATGCCCAGGTCCAAAAGGAAGGGGCAATGATCAGTAGAAAAAGTCAGGTGGGGCCCAGGACAGCTGTGGGACCCCAGAAGGTTCAGGGTGGCAGGATGTGCAAGAGAACAATGGAAGCTTGCCCCCCTCTCCGGTCCAGCTCTTTTTTTCTTTAAAAAAAAATTTTTTTAACGTTTATTTATTTTTGAGACATAGAGAGACACAGCATGGACGGGGGAGGGTCAGAGAGAGGGAGACACAGAATCTGAAACAGGCTCCAGGCTCTGAGCTGTCAGCACAGAGTCCGACGCGGGGCTCGAACTCACAGATCGCGAGATCATGACCTGAGCCGAAGTCGGCCACGTAACCGACTGAGCCACCCAGGCTCCCCTCTTTTCTTTTTTGTAAATCGGCTCCACACCCAACATGGGGCTTGAACTCACGGCCCTGAGTATAATAGTTGCAGCTCTACCAACTGAGCCAGGCGTCCCTAGTCCGGCTCTTTTCTTTTCTGGCAGGTTTTCCTGTGCTCCTATAAGGTGGAAATTTGTGTCTGTGTTTTTCAGATTTAGTTCGAGTATATTAAGACTTGTCCATGGTCCTGGAGGTCTGCCCCAAAGCTGGAGGGCTCCTGATCCCCCGGCTCTGTCCCCTGGTGTCAGGGCCCAGCAGAGCTCTGCAGCCACTCGAGAGATCGCTCTGCACCATTGAAGGACCCTGACCCTCCAGGCACCTGGCCTGGACTGGGGGTGGGAGCGGGGAGGACAGGCCCTCTCGTTCTGAACGACACTCGCTGACATGTAGCCCCGGCCTAACGGGAAGCCGCCTCCTCTTCCAGTCCACGCTCTTTCCCGCCAGGGATTGGAGGTGCCCTAAGCAGCTGTTCTCAGCCCGGAGCACGCAGACCACCCACAGCCCAGCCTTGCCCAACTGGTCTCCCCCAGCCCCTCAGCTCTGCTCCCAGGCCCAAGCCCTCTTAGACAAATAACCCAGGACCCGTAGGGCAGGCCTGGGTACTGATGATTATTTTTGACCCTCTGGTGGCTCCAACGTGCTCCCATGTAGAAACCTGGCTCTGAGTGTCACTGGGGGTGGGGATCGGGGGGTCATTGAGGGGACTGCTCAGGACAGTCACAGCCTAGATGACCCCCTGCCTGCCTCAGTAGCAGATGAGACTGCCCCAACTCAAGTCCAGCACCAGCTCAGGGACAAAGGCCTTGGGAGCGAAGCAGGCACTGTGCCTTCTTCTTCACCAGGAGGGGCCTGGTCTGTCTCATGTGTTGACCCACAGACTGTCACAGCGACATCTGGGCTGGCTCAGACACTGCCACCCAGCACCACAGGGGTTGTGACAGAGGACGTGACACCAGCCAAGGTGGGCACAGTTTGGAGGTGAAAAGGGGTGCAGCCCAAGTGTCCCCTTCTCCCCTGCCTGGAACCAGGGGATTTCATGGAGAGTCAGGACCTCTCCCAGCAAAAGGAGAGTGTGAAGAGTGGCTGAGAGGTGACTGCGGGTGAGGGGAGGGCCCTCAGAGCCTGGGGGAGGGGTCACAGGTCACAGGAGCGGGGGCTGGGCCCCAGGAGGAGAAGCCTGGAGCCCCAGCCAGTGCCCATCTGGGAGCCTTGCCCTCTGGGGGCACAAGCTCCAGCCTCCCCGGAGGACACAACAGAGGACGCCAGGTGCTGGTAGGGAATCCGTGATGCTTCCTGGCTTGTTTTGTAACCGGTTAATTGTGATTAGAAAACGCATGTGTAAATAGCACACCTAATGATGATGTGTGTTTCTCAAGGTGAGGCTAAAATAGATAAGATTTTAAAATTAGTCAATGTAAAATGATTGTTAGGATTTGAGAGTACGAGGTGCATTAAAAACGGCAGAGGCTGGCGGGGTCGGCCCTGGCTGGTGGGCTTCCCTCAGTGCTTCCCAGGGTGGCCAGGCAGGGACTGCACCCCATGTCCCCAGGAGGCCGTGCCCTGGGGGCGGGAGGTGACCACCCCCCACCGCAGCTGGCTCATGTGACCGGGACGGCCGCCTGCCTTTCACTTTCCTTTTGCTTGTCAACATGCCCACTCCCTTCCAAAGTCCAGTGTGGCAGGCAGCACGTTTTACACGAACATGCCTTTGTTGAAGTGACCCCCTCTCCACGTCACCCGGTCCAAGCGAGGACCAGAAGGGAGGCCGGGGGCAGGCCGCTCAGGCCCGCGGGGACTGAGCACCTCCTGTGTGCAGAGCACGTCCGAGGACCTGAGGGAACCGCAGAGGGGGTGTGTGTGCCCGTGTGGGCCTGCG